GAATTCTGTGGATGGATGGATGATTGGATGGATGGATGGATGTTTGGATAGATGGGTGGATACTAAGAATGGTTGGATGAATAGATGGATGGATGTTTGGATACTGTGGATGGATAAATGGATGGATGGATGGATGAATTCTGTGGATGGATGGATACTGTGGATGGATGAATGTTTGGATGGATGGATACTGTGGATGGATGAATGTTTGGATGGGTGGATGGATGGATACTGTGGATGGATGAATGTTTGGATGGATGGATGGATGGATGGATGGATGGATACTGTGGATGGATGAATGTTTAGATGGATGGATGGATGGATGGATGGATGATTGGATAGCAGGATGTTTGGATGGATGTCTGGATGGATGGATGTTTGGACGGATGGATGTTTGGATGGATGGATGTTTGGATGGATGGATAGATGGATACTGTGGATGGATGAATGTTTGGATGTTTGGATGGATGGATGGATAGATGGATACTGTGGATGGATGAATGTTTGGATGGATGGATGTTTGGACGGATGGATGTTTGGATGGATGGATAGATGGATACTGTGGATGGATGAATGTTTGGATGGATGGATGGATGGATGGATGGATAGATGGATACTGTGGATGGATGGATGTTTGGATGGATGGATGTTTGGATGTATGGATGTTTGGACGGATGGATGTTTGGATGTATGTATGTTTGGATAGATGGATGTTTTGACCAACTACAGGCATGTTAGTGGGTCATTATATTAGCTATTATTGGTCGTTCAGAATAAATCATCAGACAGAAAACATTCTAACAACTCATTTCTGGATAGATGGATGTAAATGCGACAGTCACTTACTTTCCTACTAATCGCAATTAGCAGACACTCTGCGGCCTCCAGCTGCAGCTCAGGTTCACTCAACAACAGGCACAAGATCTCCAGAAGACGGCAGTTTTGACTGGTGATGTGGCTCAGAGAAACCCAGTCAATGTAGCCTGCTAGAGTGTTGAGAGTAGCCACACCAACACGCAAGTGAGCTTTCATCTAGGAAGATAAAAAAACAAAAAAAAAGCTCATTTTATCTGGTAAACAAGCTGGTAGATGGATGGCAAATGCTGAACCAAACAGAAAAATAGCAAGAAAAAAAACTAAACAAGCTTAAAAACAACAAGCACTACTGCAAAACATTAGACAGGACACATTCTAACAGCTCATTGCTTTTGTCTAATTATTTTACTAGTTATTTTTCAGCATGCTAGTTTTCAGCTTAAACTGCCATTTAAAGACTTAACTAGATTAATTTAGTGAGGTTAATTAGATAAGTTATTGGCCAACAGTGTTTTTTCTGTAGAAAAAAAACTAAAGCAGCAAATAATACTGACCTTAACAGTTTTAAAATGCTTTGTAAAATAATGTATTTACTCCAGCCACACTAAAAGTAGTAAGACTTTCTCCAGAAGCAAAAATAATAAATACCAAGAAAAAGACGCCTTGCTCTGTTAAACATTACTTGACATACATGTTTAAATTTCACATGAAGGGTTAATAATTGTTCAATCAAGTCTTGAACTGCACATTTTGTTAATTAATATTAGGCAGTGCACAAATGTACGGTTCAATTTGCTATCTCGGTGCATCGGCGATGCTTTCCATAAACAATTTGATATTTTACTTTACAGCACAAGAATTCTTGTATTAAAATGTATCATTTATAAATATATTTATATCTTAAGGCCTATTTGTAATACGATTTTCTCCTTAATTACAAGCAGTCAAATGTATGTACTGTACCTTTAATTTTACCTGCTCAAAGAAAACACTCTTTTTCAATGCATCAAGCAAAGCTCAAGCACATGCACAGAACAATGTGAGCATTTATAGCAAATAAACTAATGTAAACATTACCCCGATTGCTTTTTGAGCGTTGTTGAGCGAGTTCTTAAACACCTATGAATGAATCGAAATCGATCGAAATTTATGCTCAATTTCAATTATCGAATCAAAAAATAGAATCGTCGATGCTGCCACGCCCCATGTCACGTCAGCTTGGCTTGCCAATGAGGAAAAAAAACACGCTTGTTGAACTGCCGACGCAGGAGACCCGTCGACAGAGCTTAAACCCTCTCTTCTTTCAATGAAGTCGCCGGTGTGTAAGCATTTTGGATTTCCAGTGAGTTATGTTGACAACGTTCGTGTTGTCGACAAAAAAAAAAAAACAGTTTGCAAGCTCTGCTATGTACGTATTAGGGTTCGTCCGATAGACAACACCGGCATTGCGATCCTCCGCCCCGGCCCCCCGCTCACGAAAAGTACACACTCAGGCCCTGTTTACACTAATAGGTCTTTGTTTTTAAATGGCATTTTAGAACGACAACCATTTGACATCCACAGTGGCGTGTAGCATTTCTGAGCAGCCCTCCTTCCTCTACCTCTGAAAATGCACATCACGTGATCACACAGACACAGACGCACACACAGTGATGCGCTCGAGACAGCAGGTCCAGGCAGTCAGAGGACTGCTTTAATCTTTCACTCACTTGTATTTAGTCATTTTAGCGAACACCTCAGATACTGTTGGCTGGTTCCTGTTGGTTGTGCGTCTTTTTTACAGACGCCATTATAACGACACAGATCACTGCCTATTCACGAGTCCCGCAGAAAAAGTGATTGACAAGTGGTAATTATGTGTGTATCTTACCTTTATTCATTTACTGTATGATTTGTTTATGGGTAAAACAAAGACCATGCAGGTCAGGTAGTTTAAACGGTAGGCTACAAATAATTAATTCGTTATAAATCAATTAATTATTCATAATCGAAAAGCGATTCGAACCGTGACTTTAGAATCGAAAATGTAATCGAATCGAGGATTTGGAGGATCGTGACACCCTTAATTATTACTGAACCAATACCGAATTGTTCACGTCTGCATCATGGTGCATCGAAGAAATAATAAATTTTTACACAGTTTACTAAACTGTACTTTAATAAAAGTAAAACAAACAACAAAAATAAAAAATGTAATGAAAGCGTTTTAGATTACAACACAAATAATACTGATAAGTCCCAGCACTCACCTTTAAATCCAGACCAGCAACACATTTCTAAAAAAAAAAAAAGGATAGATATTTTCAGATCATGTGGCTTTTACTCTCTTTTCTTCATCAATGTTAAGCTGCTATGATCTACATTGTAAGACATGCAATAAAAATAAACTTAATTGCAAATGAAAGTGACGGTTTTCAGATAAATGCACCAAACTGTAGAAGACAAATTACACTAGTTTGATAAATGTGGTGATGAAAGTCTGGAGGACGAACCATCTTGCTGTACTCGTTGACGTGAAGCTGCAGTATCCCCAGCAGGAAAGTGAAGACGCTGTCCATATTCTGTGTGAGCGTCTGCTGGATGTCCCGCCGTCTCTGAGAGGGCAACGTCTGAAACGTGATCACATCCTCGGCCAACCGCAGCAGAACCAGCATTACAAGCTCGGTCTGAGCATCCTGAAGAGGAATTAGATTAGATTCAACTTTATTGTCGTTACACATGCACACATGCAAGGCAACGAAATGCAGTGTAGGTCTAACCAGGAGTGCAATATTAGGGCTGCTCTATTTTAGGAAAAATCATAATCATGATTATTTTGGTCATAATTGTAATCACGATTATTCAAAAAGAGTATAGACCTTTATCTTGAACGCAAAATTACCCATTATGCTTTGCGTGTATGCGCAAGGAGAATGCGAAGAACTTCCGGTCGGCAGCTGATGCGTGTAAACAGTCACATTTGGACAGCTTTGAAACGATAGTTTTAATCTATTTTACCTGCTTTTATCCTCTTTGAACTAACACTGTTGTCCATCAGCAGCATCTCCTGGACTGATCATTTAAAGAAATGCCATCTAATATGATGGAAAACAGCTGCTGTGAGGCGTTTTCCCCTCGTTGTCAGACGGCATCTTCTGCAGTTTAAATGAAGCCTCGTCATCGCTAAAGTCAACGTTTTCTCTTTATTTCAAATATATAACCAGCCCAAACACATGTAATTCACCAAAATGTTTGACACACACACATAGCCTGTACTGTGCCACTGACACACTGATTTAATAACGGTGACAAAGTGAAAATATAGGCTAGTGTCATTTCCAAATGACAGAAAAACACAAACCATGGTAAAAACAACACACAAAATAAAACACAAACGGCTCGCGATTAGAATGAACAGCAAATCAGCAGCAGAGCATCAATAACAGACTTTTATTGCTCATTTTTGTAAATTGCACGACTTTCATACCTGTTAAGTTTCATGCCAGTACTCTGGTTTTCTCTCTCTCTCTCTCTCGTGAACTAGGAGAACGTTTTTCTCGTATTTCTGACGCGCTTGAACCACATGTGACAGATTATAACGGCTTTAACAGACACATTTCTAAGTTTTGTGTCACAAAAACACTCTGTTATCCATTAAAAACGTTATTGAAACCCATTTTTGGAGCGCAAATTACCAGTTGAACACGCTGTAAGCGGAAGTTTTTAGCATTCTACCGGAAGACGCTGGTCGCTATGGCGCCCTCCATGCAGCAGCCATGAAAAAGGTCTATAACTTGAAGTCAAAATTATTCACCCCCCTGTGAATTATTTTTTTTTTTTTTTTTTTTTTTTTAAATAAATATTTTCCAAATTCTGTTCAACAGAGCAAGGAATTTTTTCACTGTATTTCCTCTAATATTTTTTTCACAGAGGGGTGTTGCAGACGAAAATAAAGAAGTGTGTGTGTTTAAATGAAGCCTCGTCATCGCTAAAGTCAACATTTTCTCTTTATTTCAAATATATAACCAGCCCAAACAAATGTAGATCACCAAAATGTTTGACACACACACGCAGCCTGTACTGTGCCACTGACACACTGATTTAATAACTGTGACAAAGTAAAAATATAGGCTAGTGTCATTTCCAAATGACAGAAAAACACAAACCGTGGTGAAAACAACACACGAAATAAAACACAAAAGGCTCGCGATTAGCATGAACAGCAAATCAGCCAGCAGAGCATCAATAACAGACTTTTATTGCTCATTTTTGTAAATTGCACGACTTTCATACCTGTTAAGTTTCATGCCAGTACTCTGGTTTTCTCTCTCTCTCTCTCTCGTGAACTAGGAGAACGTTTTTCTCGTATTTCTGATGCGCTTGAACCACATGTGACAGATTATAACGGCTTTAACAGACACATTTCTAAGTTGTGTGTCACAAAAACACTCTGCTATCCATTAAAAACGTTATTGAAACCCATTTTCGGAGCGCAAATTACCAGTTGTACACGCTGTAAACGGAAGTTTTTAGCATTCTACCGGAAGACGCTGGTCGCTGGAATTTTTTCACTGTATTTCCTCTAATATTTTTTCACGAAGGGGTGTTGCAGACGAAAATAAAGAAGTGTGTGTGTGTGTGTGTGTGTTTGGGGGGGGGTTTGTCGCGGACAAAAGTGAAAGGGCGGACGGGGGCGGTTAAAGAGGGGGATCAGTAAAATGAGGTGCCAGATCAGATTTCAGAGGTGCCAGATCCTTATCTGGTGTGTTCCGCTAGAAATTAAGCCCTATGTATAGTACATTGTATAATAAAAATGATGCATCTAATACCATGTTAAATAGCATGCAAGGCTTTCTAAGAGCCTTAAATAACTGTAAATTGATTTAATCAACTTTTAATACTTTTTATTCATGTACGTTTTATTAATGTGTGATTTATGCAAAACTCTTGCGTACCCCGAGAGCGGTGAGGGCCTCCATCTCCTTCAGCATATCGGGCCACTGCTGCGGCCACTCTCTCTTGATCATCTCCACCACGATGCGGGAGAGGGCGTCCTTAACATGACATTCCTCTTGGAGAATCGGATGTGTACCCTGAAACAGCAGATTAAGTCAATCTTCAACAACCATTCAACAAAATGACATCGCTGAAGCCTGCAGATTATATCGAATATCATCAGTGTTGGGTAAGTTACTTCAAAAAAGTAATTGATTACTAATTACATAATTAAAATTGTAATTACCATGTTGTAAAGTAACTCAGTAACTCAATAAGTTCTTTAATTACTCACGCATTAATGCACTACATATAAATTGACCTACAGTGCGCAGCATATATGAGTACAGCCCATTTTGAAAATTAAGAGTTGTCCATTTCTCAGTGATTATGGCTCATATATATTGGTGCATTTGAAAAAAACACAGATTTATTAAACAGATGTATTTATTAAAATACTACTTTTGTCACAGAACATCTTTAGAAATGAAAATAAATTACAAACTACAATATTTAAACAAATTTTCATATATTTTTTATTTCTCTTGATGTTTACTGTTTTTGAAAATGTTATTTAATTTTTTTTCTCTAACATATAAATTTGGGTGTACTCATTTTAGAACCATTATTGTAAGTTATTTTGTTAGATAAGCTCCAGATTTGGCTTCAGCACTGACTAATCTAATGTATATGCACAAACATAATATTGTATAGCTTCCTATAGAAAATATTAATTTAAATGAGAGATTTGTGGGGGGTGTACTCATATATGCCGAGCACTGTATATTGACATAAATGTCTGACTGATTTCATTGTTCCTTAAGCATGTTCAATCTACTTGATCAAATAATTTCTCTGCTTCTCTTAA